TTGTTTCAAAAAGCCACAGGGAACTCATCAGTCTTTGAGGCAGGAATAACATCTCTCTATGTATCTATCCAGGCCTGTCACAGGGTGGCACCCACCTCTCAAAAGCACCAACTCCCTTGTTCAGGTGTGTGCCCGCACCTCTTTCAGTCTGTTTTAATCCTTTTGGGCAATTCTAGTGACTCGGCCGAGTCACACACAGCCTGTGTGGGGCACAACTGTACTAGACCCTTCCTGGGGTATTAGTCTAGCAAAGTCTTTAAGCGCTGCTGGCCCCGGTAGGGGGCTGTGACCCCAGGGCTTCTTCCTGGCCACTCTTCTTCCATTTGAGTCTTTTCTGTCCCCAGCACTCCAGCTGGCCCTCTTAACAGCTCAGATCTCCTTCCGGGGAGGGTGCCGGGGAACGGCGGCGGGGAGAAAGGATATCACTGTCCAATTGTAGGTCACGTCCTCTGTGGCTTAGTGAGGGAATCTGTCCCACCCGCTACTCTGCTTCCCATGTGCTGCCATGTCTCTAACTAAACTTCTTTAGATTCCCTGGCTCTCTCCCCGGGAACCCTTCGCAGGGGGCTGGACTTGATGACTCCCGAGATCCCTTCCAGCTCTGGGATTCTAGGATTCCCCTTGCCACAGGGCACACAGTAAGTCCTAGCAGCCTGTTCCCACTTGCTCCCTGGTCCCTACCAGAAGTTGCTCTGTCATTCTGTGGCTCCCTTTAGCCAGCCAGGAGCACCATCTGCACTCCTCTGGCCTCTGGCTCTGCAGCTTCCTTCTGAGTGGTGGCTTGGCTGCCTTCTAAGGAGTCTTCCTTGGCCTTTTGGCAGGGCTGGCATGGACTAGGACAACCCCCACTCCAGGCCACACCCCAGCCATGCCTCTATCCGCTCCTGCACCATCCCCTCCAACATCCACTGTACCCCTGCCCCTGAGTGACCCAGGGCATTACTGGCACCCGCAGCGGAGGTCCCCCCTCCACCCCACTACACTCCCGAGCCTGGCCTCCAGCCATGTTTCTTGGGAGAGCAGAGTGGGTTGGGGCCGGATCACTCTGCTTCCCGCTCATGTGGTGAAATGGAGCAACCCGGCTGGGAGCTGGCAGAGCAAAGCAGGCTGGAGCTGGGCTGCTCTGTTTCCGACGGCTGCCACCACCACTGGTCAGTGCGCAGGGTGGGCCTGACACGAGCTCTGATGCCAGTCTCCCTGGTAAGCCCCCAGGCCACTCTGTGGGCCCTCCAAACTGCGAGGCCCCAGGTGGCTGGCCTACACCATCCAATGATTCCTCTTGGAGGACTTAGCTCCATGGCTCCTTTCTAGGACAGGGCGTGGTAGGATCCTCAGGCCCCCCAGCTCACCATCACAAGCTCTGGACAAAATGGCTCCCATTCTTGGCTAGAGGCCTCAGACTCTGTGTGTGTATTTACAGCTAGTAAATTTAAATATTACTTTTATTTCAGAGTAACATTGTTCTTATGAAATAATTATAGTCAAACATGTCCTGGTTTTGTCTGCCCTGCCCGCGTGTGTGAGCAACAACTCATTTAGTAAATTAGCTAGTTCGTTCCTTTTTATTTTTAGTGTGCGCGAGTTTAAAATTAGATTTCAAATAACTAGGTAGACAGTCATGGATAAGAATCCCCTGGTATAAATTGCTCTGCATGACAGGACCTTACAAAAATGATTACAGGCAGATTCACAATGCAAAAATTATTTATATGACAGGCAGGAGAAAGACAAATTACTCAGAGACTCTGTACATGCTC